CTAATGGTGTTTGTAAATAGGATCACAAGTCCACATCTTGTACAGCAATTAACCACTAAGAAGAATATATGCAGTGTATTATTTGTTGAAAAATAAAAAAAGGCTTATAGGAATTAAACAAGGTTCATGTTTCAAAAAAAAAAAAAAACCGAGACCCCTTCTTTATTATCCCCCAAACTCCACTGCTTTATTTTCCAATGCAAAATTCATGCCTCCTCAAGCCAATTACTTGGGAAATTTGATATGTAATAATGAATTATACATGTGTTTTCTTTATGATTGTTTTTTCTCCTTGGGGATGCTAATTATATGATAAATTGTTGGGGGAGTTTATGTTTTTGAAATAACTTCTTGTCATATCAGAGCCTCTCTTGCTACACATTGCCAAGCTAATTGGTGGCTTCCAAAGAGGAGGAAGATATAGATTGTTTCAATTAGTGTAGTAAAATGCTAAGACAGCAAAAAAATGGCCTGTCTTACATATATATTCATGTGTAAATATGATAAATGTATATGTATACTTATGCCAGAAATAATAATAAATGAAAATTTAACATACTCTTTCTGTGAGAAATTCTGATAGTACCCTGGTGTAGTATTTTCCTATTTTGAGATGCACATTCACCCCCTTCTGTTACAATTAAAAAGTCATTTTTATGTATTAAAATTAAAAATTCCCTTTTGATAGAAGCACATCTCCACTGACTGTGGACATCTAGCAGCTGTCACACAACTCTCTTGTTAAACAAATCCCTTGAAAGCTGGGATATTATTCACTAATAGTAAAGTCTAAGATGTCCATTATATAGCTTTGGTGACTACAAGTAGAGAGATCAGTCAGCTGCCTTTTAAAGTTTATTTCAGAGCTACCACAGTATGAGGGATTTTTTATAATTCTATCAAGCAAGTATCTTCATGATACTTTTCAGGAAATCATAAATCTTTACTTATTCAGAATCAGTACTTCTTTCTAAGGATCAAAGCTTTGGCTATAGTTGCTTTTAAGCAGGAATTTCAAAAGTTTTTGGTAGTGAGTGATATTTCTTCTGAGTGATATTTTACCTGTTGGTCTGGTAATTAACAACTGGTTGGTAATTTTATGTCACCGTTTGCCCATTCTCTCAGCACTGAAACTGTTCCATCAATGACACATGCAAAAGAAAATGCAGCTCTACAAACCCATTTTAAAAGGTGTATTTCCACAGGGAAATTAGCCTCGCTGGCATATGTAATTATATCAAAACATAAGGTATCAGAATTCACCTAAGGTAACAGGCTATTTTTATAACAAACCCCAATAAAATGTCCTAATCAGTTGTCGGAGGGATACTGTTATTCATAACTACCCACAAGTTTGAGAAATGTACTACCAACACTGTCATTTTGCTGACTGGATGAGAACCCCTCAGGAAAGTTCAGCACAGCCTTCTATCTACCCAACTTCGGAGAGGCAAAGAAGAATGTAAACTGGTATTGCTCCCACAAGTAGCCAGCTAAGTGTACCCCTTTGATACTACTAAAATAATTTGAGGTCAGGACAATACATTATCCACACTAAGTACCAACTGTCACTTTGTGCTAGGGAAGTGTTCAGTAAGTACCTCTCACATAACCACAACGTAGCTATTGTGCCAGCTCTGCAAAGCTCTCTGCTTACCTGCAAAAATATCTGTGCATGGGTTCACTCTTGCAAGGCGTCTGGTGATTCCAAAATCACAGATTTTTAGCAACCCACTGTAGGCGTTTATCAGAATATTATCACCCTTCAAGAAAAAGAACAGCATTGAGTGCTTAAAGACAGATTTAAATAAGTGAACATGACATAGTTGGGACCTTGAGACAGTGTCGCCAGGAAGACTACATTTTGTATTTGGGATGCAGTCCTGCCACATCAGCCTCCTCTATAACAAGTCTCTCAGCACACACTACTTAGATAGCTTCATGACCCAATGGGAGCTCAAAACCTTTCCCAGCACAAAGGCCAATACCTTTATGTCTCTGTGCACTATATGGTTTTCATGGAGATATTTCAGACCTTCCAGTATCTGCCTGGTATAAAACTTAATCGCGGGCTCCCGCATCGGCCCCCATTTGTATTTCAAGAGATCAGAAAGGCTTCCTAGAAATACAAACACAGCATACACAAATTAATGACAATAATTGAACAACAGGAGTTCAGCAAAATAAAATGGGTCAGTGTTTAAGTTGACCTAAGCACTTACACCAACATCATCATCATAATATCTGGCTCAAAGTAATACAACTCCTTCTCTATAGTCCTAGCCAAAGAACAGACTAGATGTGATAAAGAGGACCTCCTGTGATCTCTGAAATTCAGTGGAGCCAACTTTTTGTTTAACTGTTCAGCTGCACAATATCATGAGAAACACTTCTCTCTGAACTCGGAGGTATGAACTGATATCATATAATACTTGGATCACATGATGCTTGCTGTATAACCAATTTGGCCCTTCAATTTAGATCAAAGCCATATTTCACACCTCACTCTATATTCAAACGTAGACAAGTCTAGAGTGAGGGCCTCTTGGGAGTGACAGGGACTAGAATTGGAGGAGGTGATGTCTGTTTGCCCTCATTGTAAGAAAGCCCCAAAGGAAAGCTACAGGGAGGGACCATCTTGATTAGAAAGCCCTTCCCTCATTACTCCATTAAACAGACATTGAACCTTTGGACCAAAAGGAAAACCTCTCTGGATGTTCTGACTACCTGTCCCACAGATGGTGGTGTGAGTGCAGGTGGGCCTTCCTGCTGGGAAGAATGGACCCTCTCAAGCATCAGCTGCTCTAGCTGCACCACTCTCCAGTGTTCTGGGACCTTGCCATACTTTAGTTTCTCCACCTGTGAGAGAGAATGGCTACCTACCTCTAATCTTGTTACCTTTTAGCCTAACATCTGGAACAATGAGCTATACTATAAGCTACCTAAGGAAAGAGAGACTATTTGTCCTTAATCTAGCCTTAAGTTTAGCCCACTGCTAGCTCTTTATTTTATTTTTTAAAGAGAATACAAATTAGAATTAAAACAGAAAAAAACTGGTTAGCTCTTAATAGAGTTATACTCTTTAAAATAATATTAGTCTCTCAATAATTATTGGTTGAATGAACAAATACAAATTTCTAACTGAAAGGTTTACTTCTGTATTCAAAGGATTATAATTGTTATTCAATAAAAATATTTTGTGATTTTTATTATTATTTAATATGCAGCTATTTCCTGGGCTTTTGCTTGCTGCCACGCACTTTTTGAAAAGCTGTACATACATCACCTTATTTAGCTCATCCAATGTTCCACTATGATAGGGTTATTATTCCCCATAATAACTCTAATTTTGCAATTTATTCATTCAATCAGAAAACTGAAGGTACAAAGAAAATAAGTTTCCTGAGGTCACACAGCTTATATGTGGCTGGACTGATTCAAACTATAAAGTCAGCTCCACATTCAAGGAACTACTTCTTATCTCCTATATTCTATTCTCTACATTTAGAGATTTTGTGGAGAAAGCCCTGGTGTTTGATTTCACTATCAATATGTTATTCTGCAATGCCACTTTGACAATCTGTGCCCTCTGTTCTCCAAATCACATTTAAACTATTAGACTCAAGAGATAGGAAACTACTTTCTTCATCTCTTTATCCCCAATGCTGGCACTCATTAGATACTCAATGAGTATTTGTGGTTTGAATAAACAGAGTAGAAATAGACATGACATTTCAAAAGTTTATAGAATTCTTCTGAGAAACTAGTGTTTTCCAACCTCTAAAAGGTCTGTCACCATTAAATGGTGAGATAATTAGTGATGCTCATATTGTATTTTCATTATATATTTTTTAGAATATAAGTGATTTTCAGAATATGGGACCAGAAAACACTGACCACTCACCTGCAGGAAAATGTTCCATAAAGATCTTAATGTAACCCCCCTGAGAAACAGAGCCTAGGTACTGAATGACGTTTTCGTGTTTGAAGTACTTGTGGAGAGCTATCTCTTCATGCAGAGGTTGAGAGAATCTATTATGAAAAAATAAAGCCAGTATTACATGCCAAATTCCAAGGATTCTAGACTCCATAACATCTCACCAATACCTTCTCTATTGCTGGCCAGCCCTTCTTTCTGGAAACTCACTCTCCCTTGCCAAAATTTTTTCCCTTGTTACTAGGGATTGAGCCAAAGATGTGGTACATGCTAGGCAAGTACTTTACTATTGAGTTGTGACAAAAGCTTTCAATTTTTTTTATTTTGAAAGACACAGTCTAAGTTGCCCAGGCTTGCTTCAAACTTAGGATCCTCCTGCCTCAGCCTCTCAAGTAGCTGGGATTACAAGCACGTGCTACCACATCCAATTCAAATCTGAAACTTAGAATGCTAATATAACTCTACAAATAGGAAATTACACATCTGACTTCCTATGATGTGTCACAAAATACAAATACACTATTATAAAAAGTTACCTTCAGACTATGTCTCTAAAATGTCAACAAAAAATGAAGATTTTGTTTAGATTTGGGTCTCATCCCCAGTAAGCTGCATTATGTATATGCAAATGTTCCAAAACCTGAAAAAAACCCTCAAATCTGAAACACATCTGGTCTCATGAATTTTGGATAACGAATATTCAAACTGTAAAAATACCAGCCACGTATGGCATATGGGGACCAATGTGCATCAAGGTGCTCTGGCACCCAGTGGAGTGCCTGGTTTGTAGTAACTACTCAGCAACTGCTATTCTTAGTATCACTACTGGTAATGTCTGAACTCTCCAAACTTTGTTTTACCTTTCCAAAGTCCATCTCCTCTGCCTCTCATTTAGGGTAGCATTCTGGAAAATTTCATCCTCAGCCGTATTGCAGTCTTACTTTATAAACTGACTATAGACCCCTACAACAGCTACTTGATGTGCTACTTAGCCTCAGTCTCTGGACTTTTTAGTTCATCATTCTTCATCCCTGGGGCTATCTTTTTTTGAAACACACATATCACCATACCATTTCCTTCCAAAAATTCCACAAAAAAGGCCATACTGTTTCATGTGGCACACAAAGACCTTTAAAATCAGGTCAGATGATGCCTTAACTTTGCCTCAAGTGTCCTCCATTACCCCACAGACTACTTTGAAGACATTATTTTAAAAAACTGCTTTCTGAACATGTTTTGTATTTTAACTGTTCTATTTTTCCCTAAAGTAGGCCTTTTATTCTGCCAAGAAAACTCCTACTCAACCCTCAAAATTCAGCTCAAAAATGACTTGTTTTTTCAAACTTGATACAATTCACACAGGAAAATTTATCCCACTTCACTGTTCTAAAAACACCCTATATACTCTTCTATAATGGCACTTGTCACTTTGACTCACTACCTGCACTGCTCACCCAACTAGTATGACCCTGGAATCAGAACAATATTCTAGTATCAGAACAATATTTCCATCTTCACAAACAGCTCAGAACCTGGCACAGAAAAGATGCTCAATCATTGTTGAAGTTTAGCCAGCAAATGTAGAGTTGGACAAAATGGCCTCTAAAGTCTATCCCTTTCTGGCTCTAAAATCTCAGGAACTTCTATGGGCAGTGAGCATCTGGAACTACCAGTGCTATCAAATTAAAGAGGTGGCACATGCCAGAATTTTCCCCTAATCTATACAATTGCAGCCCCTTATATGTCACAAGAATGAGAGACAGAATACTGGATCTTATTTTCTACACATTCTTGAAGGAGTTATTTTATCTTCTGCAGCCTTGGTTTTCATACTGGTAAAATAAAAAAACTGCACTAGTTTATTTCAGGTTTTGCCTTATAATTTACATAATCACAACATGATTTCTAATTGAAAATCAACAAACAAATAACAAAGGATCTTGGTACAAATCCCTGTGATGTATAACCCACCCTTAATGAGTGATCACCTTGATGGAGGGATGTAGGTACATCAGAGTATCTTCTAAAACTCTGTTTCGGAAAACCTAATGTTTTACACTGCATTTAATTTTCTGTAGTGATGTATCCAAACAAATCAAAATCATTTTTCAATTGTAACAATGGGAATTTAAAAGCACTCAATACAGGGTGGAGGGCTGGAGAGATGGCTCAGTGGTCTAAAGCACCTACTTAGAACAAGCTTGGCAAGGCATCAGGGACCGCGGTTCAATCCCCCAGCAC